TGTGTGTGTGTGTGTGTGTGTGTGTGTGTGTGTGTGTGTGTGTGTGTGTGTGTGTGTGTGTGTGTGTGTGTGTGTGTTTTGAGACATTAAAACTGTTGTGGCATAACTGTGTGTATATTTCAGATTCCTCACGTGATGCAGGAACAACAAGGCAGGTATCGCTGTGAGATCAGCAGCAGCTCTGAGAGAATGTGGACCAATGAAGTTGATGTTGTGATAGGTATGTCACACTTGAGGACATTTTGTTTAAAATTACTATTGAACCAGTTTCATTGTCATCATATTTGAGCGATTATTTGCCTCTGTTCTTAACTGAAAGCACCAAGGATATCAGTCCAGATTTCAGGGGCAATGGAGTGCTCTGAAGGTAGAGTTGAAGGCACTGGTGCATGGTGTTTTAAATTGGGTAACAGTTAGCAGGTGTTAGCTGCATGCGAATGGAAATCACAACTTCATTCAGATTGCATGTGGATCGTGGTCTTGGATTATTCTCACTAATCAGCACCAAACTCACATGCATGCTTTCTGATTTTACTAAAATCAATCCTTCCTGTCATCTTTAATGCATTTCATATTTATCTGTGGTACTTACTGAAGTGATCCAATTCAACCACTCATCGTGTTTCTCTGTCTGTGTGACAGAGCTCGATTGCTGTATGGGGAAAAATTTCTACAGCACTAAGTTGTGGTTACGTGTCCATTACGTGTGATGATGACTGTTGCAGTCCCACACTCAGCATCCTTTGACTGTTACAAATACTCACAAAGAAACATTTAGACCACCAAATAGTTTCTGTGTATCATTCTGTTGTCTTTTCAATTATTGTGGTTTTTGTGGCTCTGTGGGTCATGCTAATTTTGTACTCTCTACTTCAGTTGTAGAGATTGAGGGGAACTAGGAGTGACATGACACAGTGTTTGCTACTGCGGAAAAAAAAACAACCTACGAGCTTCCAGCATCATTTAAAAAGTGTTTACTCATTTAAACAAGTTGTTTTTCTGGCCAGCTTGGAAGTGAAAAAAAAGAAAGAAATCTGTGTAAAAATGTTTCTGAAACACATCATTTAAATCCAGTGGTGTAGTATCCCACTGTGGACCACTATGAGAACAGTTGCAAGCCATTTTAAGTTGAATGCTCAGTCACATTTATTTGAGCTGAATCAGATGCAACAGGAAAAAATATTGCTTAAATACTGAAACAATAAATGCTTTGTGCTCACTGTTTCACGCATCTGTTTGCTTCCCCTGAATCTCTGTAGAGTCTATAAATGAAATGTAGACAAAGAGCAGACTGATCATGTGTCCTTGTGCACAAAGAGACGTTAGCAGATTACCTCAGTGTTGGTTTTGGTCTTTTCTTTCTTATTAATTCTGAATATTATTACTATTACTTTTATTACTATTAAGTTTCACCCTTTCCTTTAACTAATCAGTTTTGTACGCTAAACTTGAGTGATAATGATTTTTTTTTTTTCCTAGATGACATTTACGCCATTGGAGAAGGTAAGAGGAACCACGCGCAGCAAGCATAGACATCAAATATTTCTCTTAAACAGCACTTCCTATGTTATGCTTGGCTTTGTGTTGACTTTCTTGTTGTTTTTTAGGTTCCAATGAATTCTTCCTAAACAGTATTCCTGAACAACTTTATGGTGAGTGTCTTTATGCAGGACTGATAGCTGGTGCACAGTTCCTCTACTTTGCATGTGCGATACTACTGCGATCAGTTTCAGTCTCAGTACTTACGCCAACACAAAGATGTGAAACCTTCTTGTAGCACAGTGTTAGCAGCCACACACAAGGACAAAATAACACTTTGCAGCATCATGCACTAAACACCAGATAATAACACCCACTAAAAAAAGCTACTCACCAAAAAAGGAAAAGCTTCACAAAAGGCTGGCGTGTTTTATGACATCAGCGTGATAATAATGTCACTGTTGTATGAAACACTTCCTTCCTTCCTCCCTCCATTTCTTGGTTATTATGATTCTTATCATCTCTACCTCAGTTTCTAGTTTGTGCAAACAATAAACCACAAATGCTGTGAATGTATGTAAATTTCCCGTTTCTTCTGATGGATGTTTTTCTTGCTCTAACATGTACTGTGCAGCCATGCAAAAAAAATAGGAACTGGCATTGGAAATCATTGTTTATTGTAGTCTAACTGAACAAACGATCCTGTGCAAAACAGTACCAGCAGATTTACTCAAATGAAGGACAGGAAAAAAACATGGACTTTGTTGTCATTTACATGATATTAAAAGTAAGCAAAGCAGATGAGTCGTATGTGGGGGAAAAAGGAAAGCCCCTGCGTTGTCACACCTTTAAACCGATACTACTTAACGTCATGTTCCAGTGAACTTTGCCTTTGTTCTGATGTTCGCTACACACCTGTAAGGTTTCATAACTGGATTTTGCACCGTTGTCACACATGTCATTTTATTTTTCAGTTATTTTCTGTTTCCACTTCACTTTCCAGTTCTGAAACCATGTATGTCATTGATTTTTGGATGGTATTCCTTTTATTACATTCATCATTTTCTCCCTTTCATGTGTTTGATCCCAGCAACTGACAAAGTGGCCCTGCTGATCGGAAACCTGTCTTACCAGAACCACCCGCAGCTTAAAGCTCCAATGGTGGATGTTTATGATCTCACTAACCTCCTGCGGCAGCTAAACTTCAAGGTGGTTTCGCTACTAGACCTCACAGAGTCAGAGATGAGAAATGCTGTAGATGAGTTTCTACTTCTACTTCACAAAGGAGTCTATGGTACGTTTGCATTTGACTTACCTCTGAGCGGTTTGGGCCATTGTTTCAGCCCAGAAGGTGACAGAAATATACGGATCCCAAAACACAGCATGAAAGAGAAACTCTACCATTTTAATCCTTCTAATCTAAGCATAAACAATATTTAGATAAAATAAGAAAATATAAATTAATGCATAGCATTTTCAAGATTATTTATAACTTAACAAATGTTATTCTAATTAAATAAACATTAAATAACAACAGTAAAAAAAAAAGCTGTATGCAACCAGATCTTGTATCTCTCAGCTGCCTGACTGAAATGCCGACTTTCCTCTATAGGTCTGCTGTACTATGCTGGTCACGGATATGAAAACTATGGAAACAGTTTCATGGTGCCAGTAGATGCTCCAAATCCGTACCGCTCGGCCAACTGTTTGTGTGTGCAGAGCATCCTTAAACTGATGCAGGAAAAGGAGACAGACCTCAATGTTTTTCTGCTGGACATGTGCAGGAAGAGGTGAGTGCTAGAGTCATTCAGAAAAAATCAAGAGAACACAGATCATCACTGTATAACACACAGTCAGTTAAACCTCCGGGGTATCCGTCTGTCCTGCTACAAAGCACAAAACATTGTGAACCCATTTCAGCAGCGTTGGTTCAAATAAAAGTGATACCAGTGGCACTGAGCAGGTAACAGGAAGACATCGCCCCCAAAAGGAAAGGTTGCACAAGTGGCCGTTACTGACCACTGCTATAAGTGCATTGAGGCAACAGTTTTGGTGCTATATAAATAAAATTGAACTGAATTGCTCTCTCCTCGTCCCTCCTGACTGATTCTCTCTAGTTTTGGTGTTTGTTAGTGGCATTGTCACTGCTCATACCATGAGATGGTATCCACAGCCCATTCAGGGTGCACAGGTAGTATGGGGATAAAAGACCGTGTGTCAAATTAAGCCACAGACTATCCAGGAGCTCTCGATGTCCTGATCCAGGTCTGTGAGAAGATCAAACAGGGTGTAATGCGGCGTCTCATCACGAGCATGTTTGGATTTTGAGTTCAGCGCTCAAATATGTGTTCCATTGACTTACATGATTTTATTTGAAAGATTATCAACTTCAGTACGTCGACCTTCAAGACACAATGTCTGCTTTGAGTGTTCCTCTAATTTTCTTTGAGCACTGCATATATTCTGTTTAGGAAAAGGACAATTAGGAAACTATTGTCTCTCTAGCTTAAAGTTTAGAAAGTATCAAAATTTTACATATTTATTTTCAGGAATATTCACGATGACAGCACTCCAAACGTCGTCCTGAGGGTTACCGCCAACATTGTCTTTGGATATGCTACGTAAGTCCATAAATTAACTTCATACATGGTTTTGGTTTCCCAGATATGAAGTGTTGAATTCTTTGTTTGGCTCTTCAGGTGCCAAGATGCAGAGGCCTTTGAGCTGAGCTCCACCGGCTTCACTAACGGTGTGTTTGTCAAGTTTCTGAAGAAGCGTCTGCTGGATGACGAGAAGATCACTGTGGTGCTGGACAGAGTCGCCGAGGGTAAGAAACAACGCAAAAATACAGCATATGCTAACATCAGAGACAATGTAGGAAGCACTTAGTTAAAAGATGATCAGCAGAGCATTTTGAATCCTTTGGCAAAATTAAAATTAAATTGCATTTCAGTTACTGTGTTTCCTGCAGGATGTGTTTCAGCGGTCAGTTTGATGAAAAGAATAAAACAATTTAATTAAACGTATTCTGCTTTCCATTATTCTTCCATGCTTGTTGGCTAATGGAGTTTCCTTCAAGGACCCACAAGTTTATGATCCATTAGCTTTTGTTAAATTAAAAATCCAATGCCTCTCAACTCCCAATGCAATGTTTTTAATCTGATTGCGTTTCAGGTCATGTAAGGATGTTTTGGCTTTTTGTGTTATAATAACTGCAGACTGTCTGATTTATGTTTTGTGCACAGATATGGGCCAGTTTGACGCTACAAAGGGGAAGCAGGCTCTGGAGATCCGCAGCAGTCTGTCGGAGAGGAGAGCGCTGACGGATCCTATTTTGCCCGGAGACAGCGCTGATCTCGCTCATGCCCACAGCCGACAGTGGGCAAAAGCTCACGGTGAGTTTAGTACTAGAGATTTAAAGCATTTTTTATATGTTATCTCTGCTTGGAAAACCGTTTTTGCCTATGGCAGCTCAGAACTGGAGGCTCAGTCAGATTTTTACAAATGGTGAAAAAGTGCTCAGCTTATACTGGTAGAAACTTGGTCAAGGGGCAACAATCAGTAGAGTGAGAGACGCACCCTGTAACAGCCACGGTGCCTCTTCTAGTATTTGCCCCTACAATGGAGAAGTCATTCGCTCTTACTGTTGTAAATCTTGCTTTCACAGTGTCTGAGGGGGACCCAGTTCCTCTAAATATTGTCCCAACCTGTTAGGTTTCTCACTTTAAATGCTGCTTTTTCTTTCGTGCCTGTTTTATTTGTGGCATTTGAGAGAGAAGCAGTGAAAGCATTCAGTATTTTACAAACTAAGACACGTTTGGTGAATGAGTGATATATATTTGACATATTGTTGTGTTAGTCATTATTTAGTTGTACTAAAAGGAGTGTAATGCATATTTAGCATTTTTCTTTCAATTCTTTTAGTCACAAGGGCAATGTAAAAACAAAAAACTATTCACACACACATGATTAATAATAATAAAGCTGTTATTATTAATCTTTGGGACATGGGAGTCAAAGTTTTTCAGTTTTCATTTTAAGTAAATGGTTACAGGTGGACTTTCGGTCAAATGTATGCAAACTTAAATGTATGTGAGTCTAAATTCGTCTCTGTATTTTACTGCAGAACTTCCTGAGAGTATGTGTCTCAACTTTGACTGCGGCGCTCAGATTAAGTTGGGCTTCGCTGCGGAGTTCTCCAATGTGCTCGTGATTTACACTCACATCGTTAAGAAACCTACAGACATGTCCTTCTGTCAAGCACACGTCACTGACTTCTCACAGGTATGCTCTCATGAATCTGAAAGCAGAACATACATTTGTATCTGTCTATCACTAAGCAGTGAAGGAAAAGTTACACCATAAGTGTCTGTAAATATGCAACTTTTTCTGTTTGTGAAAACTCCCTTAGGACCTTGATGTGGATCCTAAATTGATGAATAGAGAAACTCCAGAGGAGACAGGGATCTACCTCCTGTCCAGCAGTCTGCCACAGCACTGTCTCTACACCAGACTCAGCTCACTGCAGAAGCTTAGGGTAAGAATTATAAATATTTACAGTATATCGCTTAGTGTGCTAGATTTCGGAGCTGGACCTAACTGGAGGAAATATAGAGTGCTGGATCCAGCTAACATCATGGTGTGAGGTCTGAGACTGGTGAGCTGATCGGAGCGTAGTGGGATGTGTTTCATGGAGTTTTAACTATACTCACACTTCCCAGGCCACAGTGTGAATGTAACTGGCTTTTTTCTGGTTGATGGATAAGTTGATCTGAGGAGTAGGAATAGATGTGGAGATATTACACAAAGGGTGGAGCAATCCCAAACGTGTGTCTGGATATTAAGCTGCCAGCTGTGGAGTGCATTCATGTTACTTGCTGAGGGAATTATATCCTTTCAATCCTGTTGCTGTTTGAATTCAGCTTGAATTTAGTTTGAATGAGTACACATTTGCTATTCTTTCCATCAGAGGTCATCCAAATGAATAACTGTGATGAATGTTTATGGAAAATTAATGATTACTCTTGACCACCTTCTGCACCACTTAATGGATAGGCAGAGAAGCTTTGTATAACATCTGTAACATCTGCTCCGCTGCTACATCGACATCTGCGGATAATCTTTACTCTTCAGCTATAAAAGATGATGGTTAATGGTCAGGGTCACAACATGTTGATGTCAGAGATCAACGAATGTAAAAATCAAATTTGTTGAAAATCAAATAGGATTTTCACATGTGGATCTTCTAGGAGGCTGAGAGGCATTATTAAATGCTGTATTTGTATAGCGCTTTACACATTCAGTCATCCACCCATTCACCCACCCATTCACACACTGGTGATGGCAAGCTACATGTAGCCACAGCCACCCCAGATTATGATTTATTAAGATCTTCTCCTCTTGCTAATCCTCGCTAATCTCTGATCTAATAGATATAGTGATGTTTGCGTGTGTAAAGGAAAAGTCATTAAACTTTTCCTCTTGTATAGATAAACTATTGAATAGTTGACACATAGAAAACTTATAGGATCACTGGAAGTAGGAGGATTTACCTGGACACCATAAAGTTTATTCACAGTTGTTAAGATGATTTATAATTCAGAAATTATTTGATGTGGTTTCATTTTGTGCTACAACAGCTTTGAGTGTTGATTAATACAACTTTTTGTGTGCTAACACCTCATGCAACAGGAGGAGCTGGTCTTCACCGTGTGCCTTCAGGGAACCTTCACTGCTATGGACGACGATCATCCGATCCACTGGACGAAAAGCGTCAACATTGGAAAGCCGCTGATAGCCCGACTGGATCTCCACCGGGCCATGCGGCGAAACAGCTGCCTGCAGACCTGCCTGATGCCCCACAGTCCATCCCACAGCCCCTGTCACAGCCCTGGACCCGAACACCGCCACCACCTCTATCACGGGTCACACCAGGCCCAGGACTACAACCGCCTCTCCCCGCAGCATCGCTATTTGGACATCGGTGAGCATCTGCAGGGCGCAGTTGGAGGCTGCGGGGATATCTACTATGAAAATCTCAGCCAGTGTCGCTATGACCCACCGTACACCTCCGGTGGGCTTTCGAGCTCACCAGGCAGGCTCAGCATTCCCATAGAGACCACAGACGACATCAACGAGCTGCAGACTGTGTTCATCAACAGTCTTCAGCTACAGCCACAGTGAGACAGAAGAGAAGCTTTAAATGTCTGTAGTTCTGAATCTATATTACTGCTGCTCTTGTTGTTACATATTTCAAATGTATATTTTATACATCGGTTGTTTCAGAAAGTGTTATGCTGACCTTTGTATATCTGTTTTGAGAACTGAAAACATGTATTTGAGTAAACTGACTAATAGGTCCTCATGTAACAGTATTTCAGAGACTTAAAAATAGAGCTGAAACTATTTTTCTTAGCCAGATGCATTTAAACTACAAACTAGGTGGGCATTAAAATAAAAACGGTACATGGTATGCATTTTATCAAATAAACCTGAGAAAAAGAGGTGGTTTACATCCATGTTTGTATTCCTGTATTTATAATTATTACTTATACATTTGTGACTTGGCAGCTTTTTTGTTATTATATATGAAGGTTAAGGGTGGTGCAGTGGTTAGCACTGTTGCCTCACAGCAAAAGTGTTGGGTCTTGGGTTTGAATCCACCAGCTGGATGAGGAATTTGTGTGTATTTTTATGTTCTCTCTGCTTTCACTGTGTAAATATATGAATGGGTTAACTGGTGATATATCATTACAGCCATCAAATACTGGTTCAAAAAGTATAATTCTATAATATTATTTTCCTCTGAATTGTAGAAATAGCATAAATTGGAAATAATCTTATAGTGGATCGCCCTTTCCTTATTTTATCTTACATATATACCATTAAAGTATATGGCCCTCATTTATAAAGTGCTTTACAAACCTGAACATTACGGCTAACCCTGGATTTTCCTGTTTGAATGCAACTAGCCAAACAGCGAAGAGCCACTTACTGCTGAAGAGACAGAGTGAAAGTGACATAAAACTCATTGTTGCAATGGGAGACAGCACAGATGTGATCAACTTAAACTGAATTTTAGTTTTAGTGACCTTATTTTCCTCTGCGTTATCGATTCTGTCACTAGTTCCGGAACCAACCAACCACACGAGACTTTAACCCCTTAGTTATTAAACCTGGCTTCAGTTTCTGAGAGTAGGGCCCAACAGTGCAGCATTTCTTGTCCCCTTTAGTCATGACTTCTAATTAGTATAGATCACTTTATGTAGAGTGCAACACGTGGTTACAATCAAGTAACTTATTAGAATTTAAATCCATCCATCCATTCATTCACTTCCGCATATCCTTTGCTGGAGTGGAGGGGTGCTGGAGTCAGCTGTCATAGGGCGAGAGGCGGGGTACACACTGGACAAGTCGCCAACAGTGCTAACCACCATGCTAACCACCGTGCTGCTCCAAAATATTCATACTTTTGGAGTGGGAGATCGAGTTCATAAGTAACGTTTACAAGGCGTGTGGCAGGTAGTCACTTGAGTATTGTTTTTAATTTGATTGTGTGTGTTACTGGGAAGTCATATAGGGCTGGTTTACTATAAAACTTGGAGCTGAAAATGAGCCTTAAAGTACCTTAAAGATATATTAATGAGTCATGTTTGTTAATTTCTACTACTGATCTCTAACAATACACCTGTATAAATAAAAACAATCAAACCAACAAAAAAAAAAAACAACCCCAAAAATGAGTTACCTATGTTTTTCTGTTTATTTTTATTGACCCCCTCAGGATGGCAGCAGAACACCTCTCTGCTGTCAGCCTCTGTCTCTGAGCCCACTGCTCTTGAACTCACTGCCTTACATTATGAGCCCAGCTTACACCTTTCTACAGCAGAGGACTTTTTTTTAGCCTCTGTCTTGTCAATGAACCATGAAACTTTCCAAAAGTGTTCCACTCCAGTGCCTTTCCTGGGATTTCTGCCACTGTTCACATTATCACCCCCAAGTTGGTGTTGCTGCTTTAGGCCTTGGCCTGATGCTGAGACATCACTGGCTGAGGGTTCACACAGTCTGCTGCACAGTTGATTGAAATTCGCTCATTAAAAGGCAAGCTTTCCCTATTTTTATCTTTTTCTCATTCCTTGACTGTATAATGCCCTGTGTGAAATAGCGCCCTCCTGAATCTCATGTGGTAAATCAGTGGTGAAACACGGCCTAGCACTCCAGGAAGCCTGGCTCAGGCCCAGTTTGCCTCTCTTAATGAATAAAAATGAATTGTTTGACCAATCAGATCAAGCCAAAGTCACACAATCATTTCGATTCACACCAGTCAATTCATTTTATTCACAGAATAGCTACAGTCAGAACAGGAAAAGGGGAATTTTCCACCTACTAAACTAGATTTAAAGAAATTATTTTTTTGTATGTCTGCTCTGCCTTTGCCAATTTTTAGTGTTTTTAGTATATTGTGCTTAAAGAATTTGTCTTCATCATATTCTCATATATATTGTTGGAGCTGTTCACACACAGTGAACACTGAAAGTGAACATTTCAACATGATCTGAACGCACTAGGAACAAAATTACAGCAACTGATCTGATGTCCACAACAAGGGACAGAAGATAGAAAATAAATAAATTATAGTTTTGAACAAAAAAAAAAAGGTACTTCGTGTTTCTTTCAACCACAATAAGTTTCTTTCAACCACTAAATATCTAACCATTTCACTTCTTTTGTCTCAATTATATAATTAGTATGTGTTATTACTGAATAAAAATGAATGAGCTTGTATCATCTATGAAGACGATGTGCAGTCTGACCAATTTCCTCTGACCTGAATGAGGAGTGCTGATGGAGCTGCATGAGATCAGATCGGATCGATGAGTTTTGATTTCTGCTGTGACATTCAGACAGTAGATGGATGGATGGATGGATGGATCAGAATCAGAATCAGAATCGTGTTTATTGGCCAAGTATATGTGCAGACACATACAAGGAATTTGATTCTGGTAGATGGAGGCTCTCAAGTACAGCAATGTAAATCACACGCACACACACACACACACACACACACACACACACACACACACACACACACACACACACACGTGTCTATATATACATTACACATACATACACAAAGCTGTGTAAACCAACTATAAATAACCAGTCTAAACTTATATACATAGAATAGAGAAATGAAGTGGAATGAATACTACAGAATGGATGGATAATGCTATCATGTCAATATGGACCACAAATATTTCCAGCACCTTGTTGAAAGAATGCCACAAAGAAAGCAGTGCTACAGGCAAACACAGTCCAACCCGGCACTCGCGAAGTATACCTAAAGAAGTGGCCAGTGAGTGCGTATCAGTTCTTCAACTCCATAATAACACTCGTGCTAGGTGATAGTCCTGATTACTCATTTGCACTTCATTGGACTATGTGTGGCATACAGAATTAGTACCACACTGTGACAGAAACAACTAAACCACAGTCTAGCAATGCAGCCCCATTTCATTTTTACAATGTATTGGCTGACCTAGTCAAGACTGTTAGTTAAAGAAGCTATCTTTTAAGCCAAACCGGAAATAAAAAGGCAACTGAATAATAATAATGTTAAGGCTGAAACAGATTTAAGAATTAAACATTAAAAAAATGCAGAACAAATTGAGATTGATACCAAAACATGTGAACATTTCTGCTGTGGTGAGGAGAAGAATTAGACTATGGGTAACTTTAGAGGTAAACGCCACGCTGTGAGAACTAGAGTGAGAACTAGAGTGAGGCTACTTTTAGTGTTTCACTTGGTATAACTGTGAACAATTGAATAGTATTAAATTTATACTCATATTAAGGTAGAACTGCATGAGTCATTTGCAGTAACAGAATTGGTACTTTGTTAGTTGCCCCTCTTTGATATTTCATGAGGGGATTCAGCTCATGTGACCTTCTCAAATAACACAACAGGACACCTTGCACGTAGCTGCACAGTAGCAGCCTAGTCAGGCTGGGACAGATTTAACATTTTTTATCAAAGTATACACGCAAATACAGATACACATTATTTTAACATTTTGTGTTAATATGCAGTCCTGAAGGGCACCACAAACTGCAGCACAACATCCAGACACGAACCCCATCTGAGTGAATAATGGATGGAGGCAGCCACCCACAGGCTGCAGAGTGATATCATGGCTGCGTCACTTGTGCAGATGAGGGAGAAGGGGTGGGGTGGTTATACCGTGCAGTCTGTAGAGACAGTGAGGAACCTGCTCACAGAGAGGACAGAGGGACGATAACCATGTCAGCCTCCTGGAAGCAGCCGCTTTTTCAGATCTGCCTGCTTTGCGTCTGCTGCAGACACATCAATACAAGTAAATTCATTTTGGGTTTCATTTTTGCTGTGTTTTGTGGTTGTGTTCAAGCTCTGTTCAGCCTTTTCTCTGTTCCACCAAATGGTCCCGTAACCTTGTAAGGGCCAGAACGAAATGTCATAAGATTTTCACATAATTGTGTGCAACATAGTTTGGTTTGAAGCATACTGGTAGTGATTGTTTATGATTTTTCACCTTATACATGTGTCTCAAACTGTTTCCCTCAAGACAAATATTTGTAATCATCATAGGATAAAATGTAAAAGGAAAAATCATAACAGTAGGTTACTTAATTATCGTGCTTGCAAAGGATTTTTATATTGATATGATTTTAATTGTTGCCTCATTATGCTTCATTCTGCGATTGTGCATGTGTGTTAGTTTAAGAACTATATAACAGACAAAAAGATAAAACCTTAAAGTTACTCAGTGCTTATTTCTTTTTTTTGTCCGAATACATTTTAATCCCAATCTTAAGATATTTATGTATTTATTTAAGAAAACATCTCTTTGAAAAGATGATGAAGGAAACAACCTTGTTGCCGTTATGTAGAGGACACTTTTCACAGACAGTTACGAGCTGTTTCACACGGCAGCAAAGTAGCAACACTGATATCTGCCTTAAAATCACCTTAAAATATTGGTATAAATAATATTGTACCTTTTGAATTATTTTACACACAGTAAAAGACTCTGTATATTTATACATTTACTTCTTTTCCTGTTAGACACGTTGGGCTCAACCAAAGCGCCACAGGTTCCCACCACTGCTCTTAAAACAACTGTAAAAAGTGTTGTTCTTAAAGGTAATTTCTGCATGTTGTGTTTCCTTATCACTGCTCATGTAAATATGGCTAAAGAACACATGTTGATAAGTTATTTATCTTGTAAAATATTGTGCTATGACAAAGATGTAAGGATTTCCATGTTGTTGTGACCACGTGGAGCTGGATTTAAATTAGAGCCTGATTTTGCCTTGAGTGTGTGTGTT